GCAAATGTTTAATCAATAGACAGCTCAGAAAGATGAGCTAAATACATTTAATGACAGTTGTTTTGCTTTTTAAATCATTGATTGAGGCTGACATCAACTATGTAATTTGCACAATGAAAACTCTAGAACTGTGAATTAGTCTTTTTGTTACTTAACAATTATGTGCTGATTCTTATGGATATGGCAATAGTGTATACACGAATGTGCTTCTGCATACGTGTGCTTCAGTAGCTATCCATCCAAAGCGGAGTCTTAGATTATTAATGTGACTGACCTGCGGTTGAACAGTCAAGTGTGGTCTTTTATCCTGAAGCAACTTAAGCACTAAACCCGAAGGAGCTGACTTCTGCCGATTCCCCTTTGTGTTTACTCCCCAGCAACCATCACAATGACACCCAGAAACCAATGAATGCTAAATGCTTTGATAAGCTTTTGCTAGGCTTCAGGTTTTTGTGTCTGCTAACATTGTTTTGCTGTGGTTTTACTCTGTTTAGTGTCCAAGCTTTTTCTCTCTGTCACTAGTTCTTTAAGAGGTCAAATGCCCGTTAGAATCTGCTTCTGCAGTCACAAATGTGTTTGTACTTTTACTTTTATAACTTTCCTTTTACAATAGAAAACATCTTCAGTGTATAAAAGTAGTTGTGGGGTTTTCACAGTTACTGTGCAATAAAGTGAAATGTAATAATTAAAAATTTATTATAAATAAGGATGCAATGTGTCATAGAAAAGACTGTGCGTGTATGGTGGTAATTTACCGGCACAAATACAGGATGCAGAAGACAGGAGTAAAATATTAACAAGCTTTTAATGCTGATAAGTCAAGAAATTACAAAGTCTAACATCTGGGGATGAACAAAGAGCAAAACCACGGAATCCAAACATCCAAGATTTATTGGAATGTACAAGAAGCACAGGGAATCCAGACCCAGAAAACACTAGGAATCCCAATAAAGGAAATGTTCTACTACAAGGACACACAACTACACATACAACACAACAAACGACAAATGGGAGAAGTAATGGGTGGGGAACTAACACAGCTGAAGATGATGAACATAACGAGACAGGGCAAGTTAAAGTCAGTACCAGACACAGAACAGCTAGCAAATCAAGCAGGAAGTAAAACACAACTAAACAGGCAAAGGGATTAAGTAATCTGATTCAACAGATAGATTTTTTTTGTTTTGTTTGTTAGTTTTTAACAATACAATAATAATAAGTGCAAATCTAATAACGGATGGCCTGAAAACAGAAATACTGATGAGGTTTTTGTAAAAATGTACCACTTTTTTGTACTTTTAACATAACATTTTATAGTAGTTTCTTTAGAAAGCATAAAATAAAATAACCTCCCCCCCAACCATGGAGATACACGTACACACGCACTGCTTGAAACATCAAGTTAAAACTGAGGGATATCTTCCAATTTACACAGTGTAAAAACTGCAGAAAGGGTTTAAGGTGTCCTTTGAGAAGGAATGATAATAAAAAACAAAATAAATCAGTTTAGACCTGAGGAAAATGAAATGCTGATGCTCACAAATCAGGACATGGCATTATCACAACATTTTAAATTGTCATGAACTAGAGTGAGAAGTATCATGAAGAAATTCAAAGAGTGCTGTGCTGTCATGTTTCGGCTGTGTGGCAGGCAGGGATTGGACCCAAACGCAAACTCACGGGGACAGAACTTGAACTCAAAAGCACAGCCTTATTGCTGGAAAATAGAACACAAGCAATACAAAACTAAACCAGGAAAAGCTAATTTAAAATGCATACCAGAAGACACGGGGAGAATCACACACAGCATGAGGGAGACTACAACACTGACAAAGAGAAACACAGGGCTTAAATACACAGAGGGGTAACGAGGGAATGAGACACAGAAGGAGAGCACAGCTGGGAGTAATCAGGCTGGACGAGACAAGGGAAGCAAAACTAGAAACACTCACATGAGACATGGGCCTTCAAAGTAAAACAGGAAACACACTGACTGAACTCTAAACATGCAAACTTAACAGCAACTGAGAAGACAGACTATAGGGACCAGAAACATGGTACAAAGAGGTCACAGTAGACACAACATTGAACACAGGGAAGCCATATTACAAAGACAAAGAACTAAACCTATGATAACCATAACTGAAATCTAGAGAAACAAGAAACAGTACCACAAAGGACTCAAAACATAATCCATAATATAAAAACACGAGATCTCTTCAAAATGAAACTGGAAACATGAGAGGCAGACATGACAACATAAGACAACAGACATGAAACACACGAAGGGCAAGGGAGACTTCACAGGGGTTGAAAACACAAGGGGGAACTAATAAGCAAATGAACATAGGAGACCTAATGAGCTTAAACATACTATAAACATCAAAATGAACTAAAACTCAAAACACTGGGTCATAAGACCCAGGATCGTGACATGTGCAGTAGAAAACAAGCTTGAAGGAGGTTTGATGCAAAAGATTTCAAAGACTCTGGAGAGAAATACTGTAGCCTCAAATAAGACAATCATGAGAACCCTGAACAGAAATTACCTGGGAGGTTGCCGAGCAAGAAAACAGAAGAGACCTTCAAACCGCTATCAAATGTCAAGGCCAACTTGGAGAAATACTATGCATACTAGAAGTGCGTTGTTTTTAAACATCCAAAATAAAACTAGCATGTTTGGAAAAGCTTTTGCAAAAATTCCTTGTTCTGTTTAACCGCACTTTGGAAATACTGAACTTTTCATAGGGGGCTAATAATTCTACCCTCATGTGTATTTGTGCATTTCACTGTAGGTCACACTAGGACACTGTAGCAGTAATAATGTGCCAAAATTTTTCTCTTATACTGTTGACAAAATCGCCAGACCTAACTTCATGTTAAGCCACACCATGAATCTACTCCGTTTACAGCTTCCTACAAAAGTAATATAAGACCTACTAATTTTCAAATTGTCTCTCACACCCGTGATTCCCGAGGACTGCCACATGGAAGTGAAAATTAAATTGTGGCTCCCCAAACAGCAAGCTCTGTATTATCAGCTGCAGCTCTAAGCAGCAGAAAAATCACACTTCAATACAGCTTTTGGATTGCTTTGCTCAGAACACTGATTGTGTGTGGTAAGGTCCTTATTGATTCAACTGGTGAGACCCCGCTAACTTCTAACTGAATAGCACTAAAGTGCAAATATTCACACAGGAACACCTGTTCTTATATCAACCTTTCTGCCTGTCTGTCTCTGTGTTTGCGTGTGTGTGTGTCTGTGTTGGTATTAAAGTCTGTCTAGCATCACAGGCCAAGTCACAGAGTCACTTGTGTTCTACTTTTTAAACGGCAAACCAACAAAGAACAGCATTCACCTCCCAGAGTATTTTTAGAGATTTGCTTAAAGTGAGCGTAGTAGCTACAAACTGCATCTTTCAATCCATTATATTAATATTCATGAAAACATCTGAGAATACTTATTCCAGTTGTATGCCATCATGAATAATAATATTCCCTCTGTCTGCATGGAAATCATTGACCAAGATGCACACTGCATTACATCTGACTACTACTGAGTGCCATTTTTTTGTAAGAGCTCAGGTTTTAGAATTATAAACATACCATGCTGGGAAAATGAGCACCTTGAACCTGTCAGACTTTCAAGAGATATAAATTGCTTAAGATGTAGCATCAAAACAAGAACTTTTTTTTAATGGAAAAGTTACTATTCCAAGGCGAGTCAGATGGTAAGAATCGATAGCAATGGTAATGGATATTTTTTTAGTACTAGCTTGACTTTTGTATATTTAAAGTTCGACTATTTACTTTAATATTAAAGTATTATAACAATTTCTTTACTAGTTTGATACTTGGTGTTTAGTAATTAGAATGAGGCATGCTCAGCTGAGGTACACAGCAGTGGCATTACTTCTGAAGGTATTTCATCATAACCCAATTTATTTACCAGATTGGAAATTTAAGCTGGCGCTGGATGAAAATGTAAGACATCACTTTGTAGTTAATTCTACAAAGAACACTGTCTGGTGATTGTGTTGTGAACATCTGTGCTGTGAACATCTGTATATAATGTGAATATTGTTTTTTGAATTATTTAAATATTTTTGTCTCGACTAATGTACTGGATCAAAAGGCAAACACGGCCATAAAGCTCTGCTACTAAAATAATCAGCAATCACCAATGCTAATGTTCATTAAGCGTTTTATTTATGCTCAACATTCACATGCATTCCAAGGTCAATGTGTGCAACTTTTAGAAGTTCTCAGTCATAACGAAGCAAAAACATTATGCTCTTTTATTATAACAGCAGCAGTGTGGTATTTTTTGTGTGATAATTTTCACCTTTTGATTATGAGTGATCATGAGTGTCAGAAATGTATTTTGGATTTTTTTAATGAATAGATAGGTTAGTTTGTTTCAAATCATCAAATGTTTAAAACATTTAGAATTTTTTTTTTTAAACATTTTAATTTTAAATATTTCTAGAACATCTTAGACAATTTTCTTAGTTATATATAGTAACCCAGGTCATCTTCCAATTATATTGGAATTCAAGTAGGCAATCTACTGATAGTTTTTTTTTCTGTCATATTTGCTCAACCCATCATGGCAGTTGAATGGAAATAGCCTTTTCCTCATGTTTGTGACTATGAATGTCATGCTTTTTTCATATTTTAATGAGCCAATACTCATTTGGCACACTTATATTTGCATGTGTGCCAAATTACAAGTCCTGATTCAATGTTATGGTAAGAAAAGCTAGTGAAGTGTTTGTCTTCACTGGTTTTTGAGATATCCATCCTCAAACAATGCCTCAGATTTCAATGTGTGAAAAAATACCTGAAAGTGGGCAGGTTTAAAACAACCAACCTAAAGCAAACAAACCTTCACCAACAGTTTATGCCATAACTGGCCTCATAAATAGTCAAATAAGAACACAACCCATTTGCAGTATTTCCTTCTGCTTCCTAACTTCTTATTTCTTCCCTGTCTCTAGGTCACCCGATAGTCGTCTGTTTCAAGGATAACCTCATTTGAAACCAGACACTGTTTCTTTGATCAACACCGTTGGACAATTGGATGTCGTGTTTTGAGAATTGGTGGTAACCAGGGACCAATGAGGACAACAATCACGGACATTCAAGTGAATGAACCAGGGACCAGGGAGCATTGTATAAGACTACATATCCAAACAAATTCCTGACATTTGATCTAGCATCAACAGTAGCTGTCTCTGAACTCTACTGCCCACCAAATCTCTCTTTGTATTATAGTTTTATTCCTTTGGACTAGAGATCTCAACAGTGAAGATATATATTGACTAAAGGACTCTGGATAACAGAAAAAAAAATCACTCTTGAAACAAAACCATGTGATGTGAAACTTTTGTGTTATTTTCTTGCCACAAAGAGCCCCAGGACTCTTGATGCATATCTGTGTTGATCTCGTGAGATCATAAGCATTTCCCTTCCTTTTAGCCTTATGGAGCAGATATCTCTTCTGTTTCTGTTTGTTAATTTAAAGTGTTTTGTCTTTTTTAAGTTTGTTAGGATGTCAAGTCTTCTTTCTGAAAGACAAAAAGACAATGCCACAACAATGAAACCAAGAAAAAAATGTAAGATGTTTCGCTACAGCTCACCAAGGGTCAACATAGCTCAGTTCTGCCAAAATGTTTTAATGGTATCTGTTGTTTTCAAAGCCTGGTGACTACTATTCATTACAAATGTCAGTATTATATCAATAAATCTAACTTAATGGATATTGCTGTTTAAAAAAGAAAGTTTGATTTTTATTTTTTATTTTTTTACAGTTTCTCTTTCTGTTGAGGCATTTTGCATACCAGGCCATAGTGCTGTATAGGCAGGAGCTGTTGGGACTTAAAATTAGCAGGTCAAGCAAATAATCTGACAAAAAAAGCAGGAAGAGGGGGAGAGCTCACAGCTAATCAAGGTTGTGTTCATGGTGGATTTGAAATCTGAAAATCAGCAAATGCAAAAGTAGGCCATGTTCAAAAATACAAATGGGTGAAATCTCATTGCAACGTTCTTCTCAAAATTAACAGACTTAAAAAAAAGTATCTGAAATCTGGTCCAGGGAGATAATTATCTCTTACCCTAAACAACCTTAATCCTATTTGGTTCATTTCCCAAAGTAGATGTTGGTGTCATCCTTGGTTTATTGCATTAAATTAATGCTACCCATCACAATCAAATTATAGGACTTATTTACTTGTTTTTTGAGATCCCATGAGGCTTTTTCTGTTATAAATCCAAAATCCTTGTTACTATGTGTAGTAAAATAAAGCTTCTGAGGGAATTAGACTGAGGAGTGTACAACAGGAGGTTGGAAGACAATCAGTAAAAGGCACAGGATTATTTAGCCCTAATGACGTAGCCATTTGAATCAGTGGAGTTCAAGATCAAATAAAACGTCCGTTCATCTTGACACATATAATATAGTTATTATAGTAACTGATGGACGGGAAGCTCTATCATGACAATTGGTTAGAACTGGGTTTCTTTGCGAAGTCATAAGAACGTTAGGGATGCAATTATAGTTCACCTGCATGTGATGTATACCTTAGGGACAGGAAATCACAGTATATTATGTGCCACCCTTTTCTGATATGATAATAAAATAAATTATAATGTATATTTCCTCTATAGGTGTCATGTTTATGACTCTAGGAAAATATCATATAATCTGTGCAAAAATGGCATTTTAGTAATTTCTTTCTGTAAAAAAATTTTTTTTTTTTTTAAATCAAACATTACTTTGTGCTACACTTTCATAAATCCAGAGATTGCAAAAGAGAGAAAAAAAGAAAAAGCTTCAGTCTAGACTCAAAACAAACCCTCACTTTATGGGGAATTTCATATTTTCTAAGTCAATTTCCATCTGTAAGTGAAGCGGTACATTTGCCACAGAATGCTTCTTATACTAAACACAATTAATTAAGCAAAAAATTTAAAAAGCTTGCTCCCAAAGACCAGACCCCAGGGACTGATGCTGAAGGGGAGAAATGAGAAGGTTTGCTATGGTTAAGCGATCCAGGTTGCCTCTTGTTTGGTTAGAAATCATTAAATTACAGTAATGACTAATTTCTCATTCCTGCATGCAATTCACTGGAGACCACCATGGATTTAATAAAGACCTGGCGATGAATTACAAACAGTGAATGGCTGAGGAAAAGCTATGTGATTATACAGAGTAATTCATAAGTGCATTAATAAAACAATACAGAAACATTGCTAAATCATTTGAGATAAAGGCTATTTGCATAATTCATTAAGATTAATCAGACCAGGCAATCTAACACAGTGCTCCAAGGAAAAGAGGGAGAAGACATGAATCCGTTCCCCTGGAAAACCCTTTCTATCTACAAACAATGATACAAATCTACCCTTGGATCAGAGAATTAACCTCTGTGCACTTACAGCCCCTGCAGTGCTGAAACACAATCCTTCAGTCATTCACCTTTATGCGGGCTAATATTCTATTAATAATGAAAGATCTTTTCATACCATTGCTCCTCTGGGTTTTGTTGCTTTGCCATAAAAGACCTTCACAGAAGTTGAATGGAAATACAGTTTTTGTGTTTGGAAACCACAGTGCAAAGCTGAGGTCTGGCTGTTTGACAATTTTGTCATTTACTTCTGTATTTCTGAAGTTAAATAACTTCAAAAACTTCAAAAAAACTTGAAACTGCTGTGGCCCTCACTCCAGACTTTATCGCAATCAGCTCTAATTGGGCACTAGTGTGATTAAACATTTGTTTGTTTAGTAACATTATATCAGAAAGATCTTGTAGAACTACAAAATTGATTTTGCTTTACAACTCTGAATGAGTAGTATATCATCGAATATATTTCTTAGCTTTCGATATATAAGGACCCAAGCAGGCAGACATGCAAACAACGAGTAAACAATTACTGTTGTTAAATGGACTGCTTCTTGTACAGTTATTTTCTACTCTCCTGGAGCACTCAAAGCGCTTTTTACAACATGCCACATTCATCCATTCACACAAGTACTTTCTTCTATGCTTTTTAGTGCTTACTTTCTAACATTCACACACATTCATACACCAATGGATGCATCAGAGAGCATTTTTAGGATATTTGGCCTGCAGACTGGGGGAGCCAGGGATTGAATGAGTATATGACCTGCTCTACCTCCTGAGCTACAGCTAATTGTTAAATCTAAAGAACTACAAAGTCAAAAAACTTACTAGAAACTAGAAAATAAAAGGACTACACTTACCTGCCAGTTCATTAGTTACACAGTTTTTAGTACCTGGATGCATTTGTTTTCCTTTCAGAACTGCTTTAATTCTTTGTGGCGTAGATTTAGCACGGTGTGGAAAACAGTCATTTTGATCCATATCACAAGTTTTAGCTGCTCATCTGAATTTCACAAATCCACCACATCTCAATGATGCTCTGTTGGACTGAGATTTGTTGACTGTCAAGGCCATTCAAGTTCAGTGAACGCACTGTCAACATCAAGAAGCCAGCACGAAATAATTTTTGACATGCCATATTATCCAGCAGGAAGCAACAATCACACTGTGGTTATAAAGGGATGGGCATGGTCAGCCACAATACTCAGGTACCCTGTGATGTTTAAATTATGCTCAGTTGGTATGACGGGGACCAAAGTATTAACCCCTCCACATTATATTAAACTATTGATACAAGGTAAGACAGATCCATGCTTTCAGGTTGTTGACATCAAACATGTAACATGTGAGCCTGTAAAAATTGTAGCCTCAGTTTCCTGTTCTTAGTTGACAGGAGTGGCATTCAAGGTTCAAGATTGTGCATCCAGAGATGCTTTTCTGCATACTTGTGTGGTAACAATGGGTTATTTGAGATTTTATAGACTTTTTGTCAGCTAGAAGCAGTCTCTCATTCTCCTTTCACCTTTAACCTTTTAGTGTGTGTGTGTGTGTGTGTGTGTGTGTGTGTGTGTGTGTGTGTGTGTGTGACAGAGAGAGAGAGAGAGTGTGTGTGTGTTTGTGTGTGTGTGTGTGTCTCCTTTAAGGATTTTTCATAGTAGAGAGAGAGATGAAATGATAATCTAGGAATTTCTCTGGATAGATAGCCACCAGCAGGGAGATGGGAGAGAGAGAGAGCTAGTGAGAGTGCGACTGATAGAGGGAATGGGAAAACACCAGGATAAAATAGTTATACCTGAAGACAACTGCAAGACATAATTGCTTCCCATAGTTACTATAAATACAAAAAAAGTTATAAATAAAGAAAGCGATAGCACAATAGATAGCACTTTATGAGAAAGTTTGAGAATGACATGGCCTATGCCATGTCTCCTGCGTTTTTCCCAGCAACCCCCTCCTACCTCTGCTCTGTGTCCTGTAGTTCCATTCGTCTTACATTGTCACCTTGCACCTTGTCACCCACCCTTCACCAGATCATTTTATCAACCTCAGGTGTATCAGTTGTTTCAAGGTTTTGGTTCTAGTTTTATGTTTTGTTCTTTATAAAGTACTTTGTTCTAGCCAGGTTTACCCTTGCCTGATGGTCTGCCCTACCTGCTTTGCATATACAACCAACCTTTGGTTAGCCTCCCTCCATATTCCACTGCCATTCCAAGCTAAATTCCAAAACCAAGACAGAGACTGGTTTCCATTTCTCTCCTCATTTCCCAAAACTATGCTCTCCATCCAGCAGTCACGCTTTCTACAGCTCCCTACGCCATCGATCATCTTTAAACCCAAGTTTTAGCATTAAAGTCTTTAAAAGTTTCCCTGAGTCTGTTTGCTTTTTTTGCATCCACAACAGTAAAGTAATTTTGCAACTGTAAAATTACCATGACAGGAATCACAGGATATTTTTAATGACAACTGCAAGTAGAAATCTGGCGTGATAGAAGGAATGCATCCTTGCTTGAGTTGTCAATGTAGCAACTTTGCTTTTTGATATTGCATTGCACTGGAATGCACTGGACAAAACACATCACACTAAATGTTTTTGCCAAGTCATCACAAGTGTTTCTGACACCCCTACTGTGGAGCCAGACTGGTCTGATTAGCATGCCAGTTTTTCCAGCACAGGGATGATGCTGGTCTGTACAAAACCTTTGCTGTTTTAACCTGTTAAGTTTATAATCTGGGCTGTACAATTACTATAAATGTACTGGATTTGGTTTATGTGCTTTTAAAAAATTTTAATTGAGTGAATAATGAATGTACATCATAGCTGAGATGAGAGTATTAATCTTTGGAACCAGGTGACATCAGTTAGTGATACTGGTAACCAGTTTGAACATTTGTTTGAAAATAAACTGAACATCTCTGGTGCCACTCTCATATCTGTTGGGTAAATATATTCCTACAGCCAATAACATTTCAATTTTGTGCTGAATTGTCTTTAAATGCTGCAATTTTCCTGTCAAATTATTAAACCTCCTCCCTATTTTTTTTCTTATCAGGAAGAAAAATAGCTCAGAAATTGCTTTTGAATCATCCTGCACATTAAACTTCTCCAGTGTATCTCCTGCTAATGGAATTCTTTGAGGTGTGTTATAGTGTGTAGGTTATTAGCTTATAGCTAGTTTCATTGCAATTTTTACAGACTGATGCCTCTGAAGCTGTTGATTAAAATCCTCCCATAACTCCTCCCAGGAATAAATTCCCTGGTCAGCCATCTGCAGTAGAAAATAATGTCAGTAAAATGGCATTTCTAGCTGTGGTCAGGGAGATGCACACGTCTTATTGGCAGTGGATGAGACTGACTCGCCAATCCTATTTTTATTGGCAGGCCATTATTAGACCTAAATTTCAGGTAAACCTTATCTCAGAGTAGCAGCTTCCCATTGGTACCCCCCTCCCCTTTGGTAACATCTAAATGTAATAAAATAATAAATCTAAATAATTGAAGAGCACTAAACCAATTTGCTCGTGTTTTGGGCTTATCTAATCAAACAAACAAACTGAAAAAATATACAAATCTAATTTTCCTACTCATAAAAAAGAGAAACAAAAGACAGTGCATATTTAGATCTAAATCAAGCGGGGTCTTGCACTATGCAAAATGTGCTCACTGAAAACAAAGCTCTCAGTTACACAAACACCATCTGCTGGGTTTGCCCAGGCTTTATCTTGACAGGATGAATTAGTTTGAAAAACTGTCAGATACACCCAGCAAAATTAGGTTTTCTCATTTCATAATGAAAGCTGACAGACTGTAATGAAAAACTGCTCGATCTTGAAAACAGCCAAGATGAACTGTAAAAGTCTAACTGGAAAAACTTTGCTGTTTTTTAAAATCTAATTGTACTAGTCTCTGTTTTCAATATTAGGGGTGTTTTTCTACCGTAAATTGGATGTTCTAATTCAGTTTTGGTCAGAGTTTGATGTTATTTCTGACGTCTGTTTTGTGTTATTCTTGTCAACTGTAAGCAGTTTATTTTGAAATGAGTTTCGCCCCTCTCTGTGTGTGCACTGCTGTGACCTGAGGCATAATGGGATTATCCTGCTCAAGGCAAGACGTAGATGCCTTGAATTCTAATATCAAAGTATTCCTTGCTGTACCTGACACCTCCTTCTCTCTGTGTTTCTCATGCCTGAGTACACTGAGAAGCGATTAGCCCATGAATCGCAACACAGCCCGTGAGCTGTTTCGGCAAGTCATTCACACATTCTGTTTAGTTTTTTTTTCTTTTCTTTTTCTGGTTATTTACAGCAGCATGTACTGTACTTTTGAATGCGCTAGCAGCAGGTTTCTGAGCAAACCAAGTGTCAGCTAATCATATGTAGTTTTTATGTTACCCAAAATGCTGTAGAGAATTCTGAACCACTGTTCTCAGCAAGTCTGAAGCTGTGCTGTGTCCTATAGGCGTCGTTTCCAAGTATGGTGTTGACAAGACATTAGTGCTGGCCAGTGCATTTGCTCTTGCTTCTCATCAGAGACCCTCTCAGCTCCCACACTGCATTATCACAATGCCCTCGGGTCAGTGAGAAGGCCTGCTGTAATTTGAAAAGGAAATTATCTTTTGTAGAACTTACTCAGACAGACAAAAAGTAGGTAGAGAAGAAGAGGACGGGTGGGTGGTTGTAAACAGGCGGTGGGGAAGGGGACTTGATAGGAAGGTGAAACGTTCAACCTCACCGGCAGTCTCCTAAAGGGTTAATGGGAGCGAGGCCTGCAATGAGCTGACATCTAACTGGATGGGCAGAGAAAGAGAAGCAGAGACATACAAAATGACATTCTGATGGATTTCTAACTGCCTTTTTTCTCCTTGGCCCCATTTCGTGATATGTACCTGCTCATTTATTTATTTATTTACCTCATTTCTTGATGCTCGAGACAGAATCCATTTTTTTTTTGCTAATGATCAGGTTACACTGCAGGAGCAGGTGGAGTCTCAACGAGGAATTTGATGATTGAGGGGACCAGAAGATGATGCTAATAAAAATCTTTCACTTATTAGGTCAGTGGTCCATTGCCTTTGTCTCTAAGATGAAGCTGGATTGTGTTTTGTGTAACCCAGGGGTTTTAGTCCAGAGAACGATCATTATTACAACTAGTATAAATGTTAAGATTCATTTCTTTTAAATTATGTACAGAAATTCAAAGTCCACTAAGGATAAAATCATCTAGCTTTGGTGACGTTGTGTCATTTTGTTTTTTCATGAAGCATCTTCACAGCTATTGGATGGATTGCTGTGAAAGTTTTTTGCAGACATACCCACAGAAATAATTTGGAGCTTGGCTTTTCAAGACATAATCATGGAATTATAATCAAAGTCAAGCTAAAACATAAATTTCAAAAAAGGCGGGATGTTGTATAAAATGTAAATAAATAAATCTCCCAAACAGATATTTTGTTATTAATAGAACATAAAATACATGGCTCAAGAGTTGGCAGTTCGCCTTGTAATCGGAAGGTTGCTGGTTCGAGCCCCGGCTCGGACAGTCTCGGTCGTGGTGTCCTTGGGCAAGACACTTCACCTGTTGCCTACTGGTGCAGCCTCGCCTCTGTCAGTGCGCCCCAGGGTGGCTGTGGCTACAGTGTAGCTTGCCATCACCAGTGTGTGAATGGGTGGATGACTGGATGTGTAAAGCGCTTTGGGGTCCTTAGGGACTAGTAAAGCGCTATACAAATACAGGCCATTTACCATATTAAACATTTAAAGTGAGACAATGCATCGTTTTAAGAAAAATGGTCACTTTGACTTATTTTAAAAACAATCTGAAAACATCTGGAAACTGAAATCAGCAGCAGGTGGACATTGGGAGAGAAATGTTTTTCTATTCTTGCCTAGTATAGGATTCTAACTGCTAAATCATTCTGGGTTTTTTTCTGTTGTATTTTTCATTTCATGATGCTCCAAATGTTTTTAGTTGGTGCTAAACTGGACTACAGACAGGCCAATTTAGAGCCCAGATCCAGACTTCTACAAGGTATGTTGCAGATATAGATGCAGTATGTCCTTTAACATTGATTTAAAGGACATTCCTGAAAAATACATCTCTGGATGAGAGCATATGTGGCTCTAAACCTTATATATGTCTTTCAACATTGATGTGCAAACTACCAATTCCATAGGACTAATATACCCCCATAACATCAGAGGTTTTCTCTTTTGAACTGAGTGTTGATAACAAGCTGGATGGTCCCACTCCTCTTTAAACCAGATCCAGTATCAATTTTTCAGTAAAGAATTTCACATTTAAATTTGTCTGGCCACAAAACAGTTTTCCTCTTTGCTTCAGTCTGCTTAAATGAGCTTTTTCCCAGAGAAGAAGCTGGCACTGTTGGATCACATCCAGATATGTCTTCTTCTTTGCATGACAGTGCTTTGATTTGCATTTGTGGATGGCACAGTGAGCTGTGTTCACTGACGATAATTTATGGGTTTATGACTTATCATTGTCGTGATTTCTGGTGTTCCTGAGCCTGTGATTTCTATGACAGAATCATA